CTGAAACAGGTATTTTCAAAGCTGAAAGTTTTTCCCCCCTTTTTCCTATTGTTTTGTTTTTTAGTATTTAAGGTCAATTCAAGCAAAACCACCACAAAATTTGGTGCATTGGAAAAGGAGCAATGCATAACTATTACTTTGTTGGTGGTAAAAATCTGTTTCCGCCTTTCCTGAGAGGGCTGCTAATCATCACAGAGGAAACATGACAGCACCATTTCCCTTACCAGTCAGAAACACCCAATGTTTCTCTACTACAACACTATATTAGCCCTCAACAATGTATCATTCAGGCAATATATATATTGTATACTGTATGCCATCCAACATTGTGGTTCCAAGCATTACCACTTCCTTGGAGCTGGATGGTTCTCAGTAACAGAGTGGTGGACCAAAGCCCCAGGTTTGTCTGTTCACTCATCCCTGGCTTCAAGTAGCATGCATTCATACATAACAGTAGCAAGAACTGTACACAGAAAAAACACCCTTTGTGAATTATTCACAGTGGCCTTAAGAACACTTTAGTTTTCTACTGCAAAACCAAATCTGAGAAACACCTTAGTTATGAAAGGAAATAGGTGGGCACATCAGAAAACCAAGGTCACATTTATGATGTGATAAACTTTCTTTACTGAAATATTAGATAATTGTGTAAGACAACTCCCTGGTGATAGAAGGACATCTTTGATTGCTTTGACTGTAGCTGAATCACATGCAGCCCTCACTTTGCAAGGTGAAGTGATGTTTTCTGAAAACACACGTTTCTCTATCTGTCAATGCCTAAAGGTATTATCAAAAGGGGAAAGTACTCCATGCATGCCACACAGTTGAAGAGGCAGTATATGGAGAAAGTAGAAAAGGAAGTAAATACAAGAACTATTATAGTCAAGGTCCCTATGTGTTCTGGACAGTTTTTATAGCAATATATTTCTCAATATCGTCCCCTTTTTTCGCTTTCTTTTCCTGCACGTCTTAATTCACCATAGTGCTTTAGGTGGGAAACGGGTTTCTCATTTAATTTCCCATTTCGTAATCTCTTGGCATGGATTAAACTAGGATATGGGGGTGGGGTGAGGATGGGAGAAGAACCTACAATGTAATGTAGTGGTTAGAGTGCCAGACTGGCACTTGGCCACTAAGCCAAAAAAATTCATTTGGTGACCTTGGCCAGTCTCAAACTGAGCTGAGGGTTTTTCTGAAGATAAAATAAGATGAGCCATATACACTACCTTGAAACAATTGGCAGGAAGGCAGGATACAAATTTAATATAAATGTAGTAATAATATACAAACATAATAATATTAGCCATGTTTCTGAATTACCTACTTAGCTATGTAACCATTACATAGTGAAGTAGTATCTCCCAGACTGATCCTCCCACATCCTCACTTACTAGGCAGCACTATTGCAAGCAACAGGGATCTGTTTCCCTGTTGAACAGGAAGCAGTTGACTGTCATTTCCAGCCTCTCCTTTAAGTGATCTCCACTGCAACAGTCAGGAGTAGGACTCCAGCTGCAATTCTCCCTTGTGCTGGAGATCGCTTGGGAGGGAGGGGAGTCAGGCGCTGCTTCCCAATTGACTGAGGAACAAACCATGATGCTCACATGGGTTTCATGATGCCTATGTTAATAAGTAAGGATTGTGAATATGAACTAGTAACCAATGCATAATTTTAGGTTACATATTCTTAGCTGCCTTATTGAAGTCCAGCCATTATTTATGTAATCTTATTTATTAAAATATTTATATCCTGCCTTTTATCCAAAGATCTTACCATGGCTTATAATAAAATAAATTTAAAACATTAAATAATTACAAGAGTTTAAAACATTTAAAAGATATTAAATCATATTTCAATCTAAAAACAGACAATTTAAAACTAGTTAAAACAATATTGAATAGTATAACTACAAAATATGTGCAGCCTGGGTAAAATAAGTGTGGCCCAAAGACTTTAATAAAAAGCCAGGCTTTTTTTCCATTATTTTTTAATTGATTTTGAGAAAAAAATAAAACACAAATACAACAATTACTATACTACTATTCCACAATGCATCCACTAAATACTACATCCACTACAATAAGAGACAAACATTGACTTCCTGTGCCTCTGAATTCCTGGATTGTCCCATGATACATGCCACAAATCTAGTTCCCATGGCATTAATACATATGGAGAGGGGTCCAGTTTAAAAAGTAACTTGTGCTTTTAAAAGTAGCCCGTTTTATATGGCAGTGTAATAACAGACTTCTTTATACTTGTAACCTTCAGAGTTTGCAAATCTCTCTACCTCTAGGAGTTCCAGAAGCACCAACCAGCTTATGAAAGGGCATTTAACTAACTGTAAAGTGGCTTGTAAACATATGGTGTTTTCGGCTCCCATTGTGACAGATCAGTTTTCCTCACAATGTTTTAAAAACATTGCTGAAGCCTCAGCGCAGGATGAAATTTGCCGCAGCCAGACCACAGCAATGTCAAAAGCTAGACTTGGAAGATATATTCACTAGCTCAAGCTTCACTGAAGTTAGTGTCTAGAACTGGAGATTCAGTTGGAATCAGACAATGGCTTCTGGTCATTTAGGAACACTGAAAGCTGCCTTATACTGGGTGAGACCATTGATCCATCTACTCCAGTCTTCTCAGTTCTGATTTAACAGCAAATGGTTTTCCAGGTTTTCAGGCAGGATTATTTTCTGGATCCATCTGGCTATCCCCCATATAGAATCATAGAGTTGGAAGAGGCCCCAGGGGCCATCTGGTTCAACTGCCTGCCATGCAGAAAAACACCATCAAAGCACTCCCAACAGATGGTCATCCAGCCTCTGTTTAAAAACATTCCAAGATGAAGACTCTACCACTTTTTGAGGTAGCATATTTCAGTGTCAAACAGCTCTTCCCATCAGGATGCTTCTCCTAATGATTAGGTAGAATCTCTTTCCTTGCATCCAATGTGCTAGTTCATCCGCGTATGAATCAGGCTTCCACAGCCAACAACATATCTGCACACACAATTCTGTTTTCTTAAAAAACAAAACAAAAAACTCCAACCCAAACCTCCACATTTGATTTTCCACAGAATAAATCTCAAACTTCACAAAACAATCCTCTAAAACTGTGCAGTATTCGAAGACATTCTCACAGAAATGAGAAAAAATAGTTAAATTAAGCACTTTTGTCCATGATAGCAAAAATGAAGAATTTGCATCTCCAATGTAACATTTAGACTGAAAGGAGGGGAAACGCCACAGTTATTCTGCTTTCTTTTGGCCCATTTGGTTAGTCAGTTGTGAATTGTTAAACCCCTGTATACCCTCAGACATAAAATTTCTCTTTGGCATCAGCTATTGTACTACTTTATACCAGAATGAAACAAACATATAAGACTACTAGTCTTAGCAAAGCTCTCTGAAATGTTGATTTGTATAATCCAAGAATGAATCACCATCTACAATATCTTTCCTAGCTTCTACCCCTCCAGTATCACATTGTTGTTGTGGTGGTAATGGTGTGCCTTTGAATTGTTTCTGACTTATGGCGATCCTAAGACAAACCTATCATGGATTTTCTTGGCAGATTTTTTTCAGAGGGGGTTTGGTATTGCCATTCTCTGAAGCTGAGAGAGTGATCCAAGGTTGCCCAGAAAATCTTCATATCCAGTATCACATGCAGATAAACTATTTACAACTAAACTGTCCTGCGTATCTGCTGATGAATCTCTGGTGTTTGCAATAGAAATACGTTTGCCATGAAAGGGAGACACCACAATGAATGACCACACCACACTCAATTTGGAAGAAAAAGGCAAAAACTTTATTAAATACAGCTAACAAGATAGGGTTGGCTCAAAACACATGTGGTCTGGATCTGGCATTGACCATCTCTTAGTTGATTGATGAACTAACTTGCCTGGTCACAGCCAGGCTTCGGGATGACCAAAGGGTAACTGATTAATCGCATGTTCGCATCTTAGGTAGCCGGTCAATCGAATGTCTACCCCTTGTCACTGGAGGACACTGATCCAGTATTGCCCCCACAATTGCAACACCACAATGCTCTCAACACCCTCGGGTCCCCAATGAACTCCCAATCCAGTGCACCGCAGCACTGGAAACCAAGACCACGAGATCCGAGACACATGCTACCACCCCTGGAAAGTTGTGACAGCAACTCCCTAAATAGAGGATGGGAAGCTGGATAGAGCCAAGTTGGAATGATGCCAAGCACCAGCACCACATGGCCTTATATAGGCCAAAGAACCAATCAGAAGGCTGGAGGCTCAGAAGTCTCCACTCCTTCCAGCCTCTCCACCAATCTGGCTTTAGAGTTGCCCTGGCTCCAGCTAATAGGGAGGCACTTCCACCCCCATTGCATGTCAGGAGATATAGTCTCGGTGATGGGGGCTGGAAGTACCACCCTTCCCACCCCAGCAAATGCAAATGGGAAACCAACCAGGGTCAGGAGCTTTCCCAGCAGACAATAGCAGACAATCTCCTTGATTGCATATCCTCACAACCTGGAAGCCATGTCATTAACAACAGAACAATACCTATTCAACACAGAACAATACACAGTTTACATGGGATTAGCAGACAATAACCTTGAGTGCATTTCCTCCCACCCTGGAGCCATGCCATTAACAACAGAACAATACCTATTCAACACAGAACAACACACAGTTCACCTGGGAACCACTCCTCCTTACCCAGGGTCGCACAGTATATATAGACCCATTCTCTTCCATTCCAGTTTTATCTGAAGATAGATGCTGGTGAAATGTCAGAAACAAACTTTTCTAGAACATGGCCACACAGCCCGAAAACCCCACAAAAAACAAATCAAGGATTATTGTTGTTGTGTGCCTTCAAGTCATTTCTAACTTATGACAACCCTAAAGTGAACCTATCAGGGGGCTTTCTTGGCAACGTTTGTTCAGAGGGAGTTTGCCTTTTCCTGAGTCTGAAAGAATGTGTCTTGCTTAGGGTTACCCAGTGAGTTTCCATGGTTGAGCAGGGATTCAAACCCTGAAGAATCTCAAGAATCATAGTCCAGAGTCAAAACCACTACTCCACACTGGCTCTGTATAGCCGAGATAGCTTATTTTTCATTGTTAACTGCCATCAAATTGACTTCAATTTATGACAACTCTATGAATGAAAACCCTTCAAGACATCCTGCACTCAACAGCCCTGTTCAGGTCTTGCAGACTCAGGGCCATTCCTTCCTTGATCAAGTCTATCCATTTAGAATGAGGTTTTCCTCTTTTCCTACTGCCTTATATCTTACCAGTCATGTCAAGACCATGTGGCACCCTGGTCTGGAAAATGACATGGATGTAGCCACTGAAAGGAACTGGAGCAATGGTAATAGGGTTACTACAGTTCAAGTGGCAGGTGCATGAGTCAGCATTTGGAAAGCTGTGCATCATGAGCAGTCTGATGCATCATTCACAGTGGATGAGATAAGCCAGGTATGCATCATGGGAGGTCTGATGCAACAGATACTGTGAGTGAAATCAGCAAGGTTTCATTAGTGCATTGCTGTCACATGTTCTCAAGAAGACCACCTATATATGGGAGAGTCAGAATCTCTGTTTTTAGTTAGTTGTGGTTGGTGGTTGGCAAAGCACTTTGTTAGTCTGTATAGCTGTGACTATTCAAGACAGATGTCTGATACTCTATGTATCTTTGTAAATATTTGCAACAAAGATTAAATCCCTCACTGAGTGAAGCCTTGCTGTCCGACTATTCATTTCAGCAAGCTGAAAGCAGCACCTGTGTGTGGGAGGATTTTTCCTGTGCCATCTGGAGCAAGATTCTTGACAGAAGACCATCTTTTGGGCATTCCTGCTTACGTGCTTCAACTCTGCATGTGTGTATGCTAGATTCTACCTGTCTGCATACCCCCAAAATCATTATTGTCTTTTAGTGTGAGTCATGTCTTCTCATGATATGGCCAAAGTAGACAGTCTCAGTTTAGTCATCTTGGCTTCTAGGGAGATCTATCTAGGATTTTCAGGCTTGATTTGCTCTAGAACACATTTATTCATCTTGTTAATAGTCCAAGGAATCCATAGAACTCTTCCCCATCACTATATTCAAATAGTGTTGAATAACTTAATATGAGTTGATTTTCTTTCTATCAGCTTTTTTCAACATCTAGCTTTCTCAGTTTACATAGAAATAAGAAATACAAATGCATAGAAAATACTAACTGTAGTATTCAATGATAGATCTTTACACTTCAAGATCTTGTCTAGTTCTTTCATAGCTGCACCTCCATGTCCTAGTCTTCTTTTGATTTCTTGACTGCCGTCTCCACTTTAATTGATAATTGAGCCCAAATATGGAAAATTTGAACTGTTTCAATGTCTTCATCATCTACTTTAAATTTATATAGATTCTGTGGTCATTATTTTGGGGGTTTTTTGTTTGTTTGTTTTTTATGATCAGTTGTAAACCTCCCTTTACACTTTCTGCCTTGACTTCCTTCAATAATCTTTCCATGACTTTGCTATTTTCTCCTAGTAGTATGATATCATCTGCATATCTCCTTCCTCCACATCTAACCCTGCGTTATGTAGTGACGTCACTAGGTGTGTGTGTGGGGGGGGCGGACCACACCAGGTGACACCCTAAGGGGGGGAACACCATTCAAATTTCAGGTTTTAATTTATTTATTTTTAAAAATTAAGAATTATTTTTAAAAACTTCTTTTAAAACTTCATATTTTTCTCACTTTAACCACATCAAACTACATCCCTGGATGGCTTCACACCATCCCAGCCAACAAGCATCAGGAGAACCAGGGGACATAGGGGAACTATGTGAGGGCTGGGAAAGAAGAGACGGAAGGGGGCAGAGAGAGTGAGCCTGGTTTCCTCTCTGGACATATGGATGGACATTTGGTCCTTGAAATGAGGCAGTGAGTTCGGGCCTGGGGTCCAGTCCAACATTTCAGAAGCCATGCCAGCTGAGCCAGATCCACACCTCAACCCAGGCTGCTCCTCTGGGTCAGTCTCTGGATTTGGGAAGGGGCACATGTCCTCCTTTTCCAAGACATGTCCTATATTCTGTCCCAGGAGGGCAGAAAGATCCTCCCCAAAGGTCCTCCCTTTTGAGCATAACTAAAAAATATATATATTTCTAGGAGTCTATTTAGCTTTTTTTAGGTCATGTTCCATGTTTTGATTGACTGTCCTCCATTTTACAGTGCCTCATGCTCCTTTGTATGGGCTGCATTCTTGGCTTCTGACCCTGATTTTTGTGCTTCTGGAGGGCCCAAAGGGGCTCCAGTGAGATGGGACAATTGTTTGTATTCCGTCTGTGCGGACCAGGGAAATGCCTCCTTGGATGGTGGACTTGGTGGTATCCTTTGCAGAAAGCAGATGGAGATCATGATGATTCCTTTTGTCAATCACTTTTTAAAACTGAAGGTCCATCATCATATAGGCCTGCTCTCTGGGCCTTCCTGGGTCCACAGGTCTGCTCCCTGGGGCTGCAGGTGTGATTTTCGTGCACCAGAAGTCCTGCCCCGCAGAAGCCCCCCCCCCCATGCACCGGAACTCATCAAGTTGGGGGATGCTACTGCTGGTTATATTTCTATCACCTTTTATTTTTGCTTCTTTTTTGTCCTTCACTGCTTGTAGATTTTCATTTGAGGCTTCTCTTTCTTTTTGGCTACAGATAGTCTCTTTCTGTTTTCCTGTCTAACAATGTCCCTGTCTTCAGTCCAGCTTTTTCTGGCTCCTGGTCAATTAAGCTTAATAGTGCAAATCTGTTTTTTCACTTTGTCTTTATATTCTTCAATAATGTTCTTCAGATTATATTTCAGCATGATGGTTGGTTTAGAGTTCTTCTTTAGCTAATAAAGTGTTATTGGAATAATATTTTTCCCAGGCTAGGGGCACTGCATAGGAAGCAAGGGAACTTCAGAGTCCTAGCAGATGAGTTAATTTCCCCTTCTAAAAAAAAAAAAAAAAAAAAACTGCCATTACAGTTATGGCTCTAATATATCTACTGAAACCCTAAAGTGTTGGGAGAATTTGTTTGCAATTGCAGTGTTCCTTGGAATAATTACACTGGAAACCTTTACACACAGATGGTGGGCTGGGGGAAAGAGTGAGGTATCCTCTTTCTCTCCTACTCTGGAATGGAGATCAGCCATTCTGAATCCCTTCCATTTTACCTATAAGCTTATAGATTTATGGAATCAATAACCTTTACCCTTTATATCTTTATCAATGGGAAACTGAAGAAGACTGATTGTTTTATTAGAACAGGGATGAGAATAAGTTGTATGGCTTTTCAGATAGCTGCAGTTCCCAGTATTCTCCTCTTTTGGCAATGATGGCTAAGGTTAGTGGGAATTATAGTGCAGCAACATTTGTAGAACACAGTGCTCAGCTCTGCATTAGACTAACTAGGAAATCAAAGGAAAGCCTCAATATATGGGTATTGTTTTGGGAACATTGAGTGGTGTAGTAAATCACTAAGCTAAAATAGTCTAAAGCTGCTGTCACACTACAGAAATAAACCAGTCTGACACTATTTTAACAGTCATGGTTCCATTTTATAGAATCCTGGGATTTGTAATTTGTTGTAGCACCAGAGCTTTCTGACAGAGAAGGCTAAATATCTCAAAAAACTACAAATCCCAGGATTCCATAGCATTGAGCCATGGCAGTTAAAGTGATGTCAAACTGCATGAAATGCAATGTAGATGTGGCCTTAGGCATCTAAAATATTTCTGTAGTTTACAAATTAATTGAAATAAATCAAGAGGGGGTTTCGTTCTGAAGTAGCCTATGTGGCAATATTGAATATTAACAAAAGCCTATGTGTGGACATATGTGAGAATGTGTGTAAGAGAGAGAGAGAGAAGGCATATCAGCATTGCTGTCTGAAGCACGAAGCCAAATAATTGTACAGTTCTTTAAAAAAAGCATATTGGAATTAGTAAAGGCAATTATCAGGCAGTTTGCTGATTCAAGAACATATGAAACATTGTTATGCAAAATGTGCTCATTTGGGAAGTGGAAAAATAGGTTCCCCAGTTATCTCATTTGGACAGTTATACAATGAAGCAACAAACACAAGTTGGCACCCAAAAGTCCCTGACTGTGACAATTCATTGAATAAAAAATTCCACATTCATTTCATCTTTTCCAGAGAGTAGTGCTTGAGGATCCAGGAAATAATTCACCCTGGGATATGGTGAAAGGAGGTTGCCATAAGAAAGCTCCTGTGGCAGAGAAATAACTGTTACTAATGGGTAACAGGAATCCTTCAATAAAGAGGAAGGAGCAACTGCCACACTGATAAAGAGGGGAATAAAACTAATGGCATGTTTTTTTCAAGAGTGAAAACCACTGCTGGAGGATTACAGTATTTTTGTTTATGTGTGCCCTCACTAAATTATAGAGATACCAGTTTCTCAAGACTTGATATGTATGCATATGTGCCTTAAAGTCACCTGTAGACTTATAGTGAACCCATGGGTTTCATAGGGTTTTCTTAGGCAATGAATACTCAGAGGTGGTTTTGCCAGTTCCTCCTCTGAAATTAAGCCTACAACCTCTGGTATTCATTGGCAATTTCCCATCCAGCTACTTGCCGGGGTTGGCCTTGTGTATCTTCCAAGATCAAAGGGGATCTGGTGTTTTTAGGGTATTTAGTACTTAGAATCATAGAATCATAGAATCATAGA